ATGTTTTTTTCTCATTATCCTCACTTGATGAAGATAAATTAACAATAATCTCATTTCTAACTGAATTATAATTCTCTCTCAACTCTCTCTTCCTCCTTCAGGTCAACGAATTCCTAATCACAGCCGTATACGAGGTCAAAGTCGCCCAGGTCATCAGTCTGATAAAAGGTCAAGCTGACCCGAACTGCCGAGATGCTTATGGCTTTACGGTTCTCTGCCACGCTTCCTTCAAGGTCAGTTGAAAGGTCAGGTGGGGGGGTCAGAGGGCAAGGATTAAGGGCCAAAGGTCAAGGCTTGAATATAAAGGAATGAAGGTATATAGGGTCAAAGGTCAAAGCTAAAATATAAAGGGTCAAAGGTCAATGTTTAAACACAAAGGGTCAAAGATCACAAATTAAATAAAAAGGATTAGATATAAAGGGTCAAAGGTCAAGAGTCAAAGGTCAAGGTTTAAATACAAAGAGTCAAAGGTTAAAACAAATATAAAGAATTATATATAAAGGTTCAAAATTTAAAGATAAAGGGTCAAGGATTAAAGGTAGAGGGTCAAAGATAAAGGGTCAGATGTCAAGGGTTAAAGATAAAGGGTCGAGGTCAATTATCAAAAATAAAGGCTCATAGGTCAAAGCTCACAGAAAGGATAAAGAGTCAAGGTCAAGGCTTAAGAATAAAGGGTTAAAGGTCAGGAATTACGGATATAAGGTCAAAGATCAAGAGAGTCTAGGGTCAAGTCTCATATGGATAAAATAGAGCGTTCATATAGAGAGGTCAGAGAGGGAGAAAAGGTCAAGGTTCAAATATAGAGTCAAAAGCTTATGAAGAAAGACTATTTATATCAGTTAAAAAATATATGTCTTTTTCGTGAATGATTTTCGAGTCTTTTATGTTTTCTTTTTCTTTCTTTTTTATCTTTTTTTATTCATTCTTTGAGAAATCATCATTGTCATCATTGACATCCAGTTTTGTCATTCTCGTCATTATTGTCATAGTTATTTTTGTCATCGTCACTTTTGTCATTATCATCATTTCTTTTAAATGTTCATCGCCATCATAATTATCATTTCTTAATCAGTTATCATCACGTTTTTTTTCTATTTCAACACTGTCCACCATTTCGCCGTCATCATCACCATAAAGTCAGTATAAATTATTTTCATCGTCTGTGTTATGGTTTGTCACCTTGTACACTGATCATGATCGCACTCAAAATTTTCCGGACCTGCCAGTAATAGCAATAACAAAACAATTTTAATATTATTCAAAAGAGTTGGACCTGATCGGATGTACATCTTTTGCATAAACAGCTGAACGTCGTGGTCATAAGTAGACGGCTCCATATCTCAGGCAATTCTCTCCTCATCCTATTACGTATCAAAATAGGTGATTGATATTTATTTGTATAACTCAATCTGTCAGAGCGCGATAGCCTATGGAAGGCAGCAGCAGATCGAGTGTGAGAAAGTGTGTATGTATCATATATCGCCTCAGTGAATTTTTTATGCCACGTCTAGCTGCGATCATTACCAAGGAATAATTATTTTCTTTTTTATCATATATCTACAATTAACCGCTAGCCGGACTGATTTATTTTAGGTCGCTGTTCTTTAGCGTGCATGTAATCAATTCCATTTTTTATAATGCATATCACATACGTCTTATAAGATTTGCGCATATCACTAGATAGAGATGAAGTGGTGACATTCATTTGCGAAGCATTTACCGAAGAACGCTCTTTTAATGCGCTTTGCATCCATGATCCACCGAAAATCTTAAATCACCCATCATACAGCTAGACCGGGATAGGGATTTTTATCCTGTTGATCTCACATTCATCACACACGTTATTTGCACCAATAATTTTTATTTCTTCTCGCCCAATCATCACCACCATCAATCAACCACATTTGGAAGCCCTCTCCCACCCACACTCCACGCAAAGCTCCAAACTCCTCCAGCACTGCACGCATCGCCTCTCTCCTTCCCTCTCCCACGCGCCCGCGTCCTGTTCTCGTCACTGGACATCGCAACGAAGGGCAACGCAATACCCTCGAACCATTGTGCTGAGACGTTGCCGCTGCTGGAGGACGCGGGCGCGGAGCCCCAACCTCAGCGACAAGCGCCCAGGGGAAAGACGCCCTCCACCACGTTCCGCCTAGGTTGCGGGGCATGCTGGCGGTGCTTCGCAGAAGCGCTGCTGTTCTCAGAATCAGAGCGGCGAGGCGCGGGTGTGAGCAGAAGGTCAAGGGTGCTAAGGGGTGCAAGTGGGAAGTCTTAAGGGGCGACTTAGGGAGCAGGGAGGATGGTAGCGAAGAAGGGATGATAAGGAGGGAGGGGGTAGGGAGGGGGATGGGGGGATTGGGGGCTGGGGAGGGGGGGACGTTAAAGTGTGGTGGTATACGCGTTGGGGGTTGGTGGAGGGCGGGGAGGAGAGGTGTAACGAGTGGGTGTTTGGGGGTAATGGAGACGGAAGGGGGGGGGGATTGTGAGGAGTGGGGAAGGGGGAGGAGGGGGGTGGGGGTTAAGGTGAGCGGTAGTGGAGGTTGGGTAGTGGGAGAGGGGGTGAGGGGGAGGGGGTAAGGAGGCAGTCATGAGGGGGGTGGGGGAGGTGAGTGGAAGCAGAGGTTGGGTAGTGGGGGGGGGGGAAGGGATAAGGAGGAGTCAGGAGGGGGTGGGGTAGGGAGGTAGTGGAGGTTGGGCAAGTGGAGGAAGGGGGGTTGGTGAGGAGTGGGGAGGGGGCTAAGAAAGGGGTGGGGGTAGGGAGGGAGCTGGAAGGTTGGGCGCAGCGTTGAGGATGAGAGGGGGTAGGAGCGCGCATGGTGGTAAGCGGAGGGCTTGGAGTCCGGGTAGTGGGGAGGGGGGAGGGGGTAAGCGAAGAGTCAGAAGGGGGAGTAGGGGAGAGTAGGGAGGGAGTGGTAAGCGTCCGGGTAGTGGGGAGTGTTGGGGAGGGGGATCAAGGGAGGAGTCAGGAGTGGGAGGGTGAGGTGTGACGTGCACCACGAGTGAGTGGATGGTTTTCGCGCGTATGTGGGAGTTGCGAGTAGGGTGGGGGGTGTGGTGGGAGGGGGTTGGAGAGGGATGGGGTACGCGGGTGATATAAGTCGGAGGATGTGTAGGGGAAAAGGGTGTGGAAGGTAGGGAGGTGTGTGGGTAGTTGGGATTGGGGAGGGGTGTGGGAGCTCGGCATGGAAATGGAAGAGGAGATTAGGGTTGGGGGATGAGAGGGGTGGGAATATAGTGGAGGAGGAGCGGAGAGGCGGAGGGAGGAGGGCGCGAGGGTCGATGAGATGGAGGAGTAAAAAAGAGAGAGGAAAAGAGGAGGAGGAGGAGAGAAAGAGGTAAAAGGAAGAGGAAAAGGAGGAGGTAAAATGTGGGGTTTGGGAGTCCATAGTCACAGCTGGTCAGGCGTTTGTTGGGAGAGCGGAAGATAGCTGGGTTTACATTGTTCCTTTCTTCTGTTTTTTATCTAGTATGTTTCGTTCATCGCAGCATGTTGTGTTGTTCCGCTCGTAATCAATCTAAATAATCCATGGTGGAAGTTACAGTTTTGTTTGTTTTATCTGTCTGGTCTGAGTCTGTTCTGTCCTGTCGCTCAGCATTTGATCTGTCTATCTGTGTTTTTATCTGTCTTTTTTATCTGTTCGCTAGTTCGTATCTGTCCTGTCGTATACTGTCTTGTCATTCGATCTGTATGGATGTGTGAGTTATCCTTGCCTCTTATCTTCCTATTCTGTTCATCCTTTTTCTCTACACGAGTATCTGGCCCTCTATTGCCTGCTTGCCTTCTTTCCGCTTTCCGCTCCTTCTGTCCCTCGAGTCGTTTCCTGGATTCCCTCCCTCCCTCCCTCCTTCCTCCCTCTTCATTTCTTTCGTTCTCTCTTTCTCTCTTCGGTATCATGATTATAATTTTTTGTATATTTTTACAACCACTTTTCTCATCTTTGCGTAGTATTACAGTTTTCTTCTTAGTAGTGTACAATTGATAATTGGAGGAACAATTATGCAATTAGATTCGTAGAAACTGGCCCTTGCATACCTGATGTAATGTTTCCGTCTGGCTGTCTGTCTACTTCTTTCTTTGTGTGTCTGTTTGTTACTCCTTTTTCGTGTCTGGCTCTCAACCCCCCCTCTGAAATGTCTTGTCTCTTCCGCGGTTGCCTCAGTTGCGTTTTTAATGTCTGTCCTTCAACCTCCTCTCTGTACTCGTTTGTCTGGTCTGTATCTCACTCCCTGAGGGATGTAACTATGCTATTTATTGCCTACTTCATGCATGTGTTCTTGATCTCTACGGGCTTGCTATTCTATCCTATAACCGCGTGCTACCTTCCCTTCCTTTCTTGGTCTAGGTTTGTTTATTGATCTGTATTGTGTTTTCTTGACCGGTACCTCCATTCCCTTCGAATTTCCCATAACTTACAATTATCCTACTCATCATCCTCTTCCTAGTTCTATTCCTTCCAGCTCACGGTGTTTCCCAATGCAAACACCAGTTCGCTCTGATTTTTCTTGTGTTCTCCCTGCATACCACCTCACCATTCTAGGCACAGAGTGAGACACCCTTTATCACCGTATTCCATCCATTGCCACACTTCCTTCTCTGCATACACCTCACATTCCCCTCGGAAGTCCTCATTCGCCACACAAAAGGCACCTCTCCCGCTCCTCTTGCTCCCGTCCGCCTGCACACCCCTTCCAGGACATCGTTTCACGCTCTCATATCTCACTGCCTCATCCTGCTTCCTCCTCTCCGGCCGTCCGCGCCTACGAGATCCTTTCCAACTCGTCATCACGCAGCTCAACTATTCTCCTCCTCAATTTCTGCTTCCTCCTCTCCGCTTTCTCAAAGAAATTCATCCTCCTACTGTCTCCTTTCCGCCCTCCTTACCTTCTGTCCCTGTCTCAACGGTATCTCTTCTTTTCTCATCCCTCAGGAGCAAAGCCGGCGCGGGCGCCTTGCACGACGCCGCCTCCGAGGGCATGGAGGACGCGATCACGGTCCTGACGGGTCGCGGCGCCTCCCTCAACGCCACCGACCACGAGGGCAACACGCCCCTGCACGTCCGCCAAGTGGGGCCACAGCCAAAAGTGGGGCCACAGGGCAACCGTCACGCCGCCCGAGGGCATGGAGGACGCGATCACGGTCCTGACGGGTCGCGGCGCCTCCCTCGCCACCTGCAACACGCCCCTGCACGTCGCCGCCAAGGGGCCACAGCCAGACCGTCCTCCAGCTGCTGGACCTCGGCGCCCTCGACTCGCTCAAGAACAAGGACCACCTCCTCTACTCGGACCTGGTGAGGGGGGGGGGAGCGGGCGGGTGGGGAGGGGAGGGGAGCGGTCGGGTGGGGAGGGGGGGGGGATAAGGGGGGAGAGACGGGGATGGGATGGGGTGGTGGGGGATTGGGGGGAGAGACGGGGATGGGGTAATGGGGGTTGGGATGGGGTGGGGGTAGAGAGGTAGTGGGGCTGTGAAAGGGACGGGGAGAAGGAGTCGGGATAGGACGGGGTCGACGAAAAGGGAAGGGATGGGATAGGTGTAAGGAAACAGTGGAGATGGAGAAGGAGGAAACGTAAGAGGAATTAGAAGTAGGAAGAAACAGGGGACGAGGAAGAAGAATTTAGGAAAAGGAGGAGGAGTGAAAAGGAAGAGGAGTAAGAGGAAAGAGAGATTTGAAGAGGAAGGGGAAGCAGGGGAGAGGAGGAAGGGAAGCAGAGAGAGGAGGAAGGGGAAGCAGGGAGAGGGAGGAAGGGGAAGCAGGGAGAGGAGGGAGAGGGGAAGCAGGGAGAGGAGGAAGGGAAGCAGGGAGAGGAGGAAGGGGAAAGCAGGGAGAGGAGGAAGGGAAGCAGGGAGAGGAGGAAGGGGAAGCAGAGAGAGGAGGAAGGGAAAGAAGGAGGAAGGGGAAGAGGGAGAGGAGAAGGGGAAGCAGGAGAGGGAGGAAGGGGAAGCAGGGAGAGGAGGGAAGGGGAAGCAGGGAGAGGCGGGAAGGGGAAGCAGGGAGAGGAGGAAGGGGAAGCAGGGAGGAGGAGGAAGGGGAAAGGGGAAGAGGAGGAGAGGGAAGAGAGGAGGAAGGTGAAAAGGGTGATAGTTACTGAAGATGATAGTTAAAATGAGTAGAAGAGGTATGTGGGGGGGGGGGAGGGGTACAAAATTCGCGAAATTGAGGCTTGATTTAGAGGGGAGAATTAATTTATTTTGCAAGGACAAGAAACGAGTTTAGAAAGTTTAATTAAGGAAGGGAAGCTTAGATGCAGAAATCTACCCTATCTAATAATTTATCAATAATTGACTAATGATTTATTAATAATTTTATTTATAATCTAATAAGGGAAGCTTAGATGCAGAAATCTACCCTATCTAATCATTTATTACTATGATTTAATTATCTTTTCACAGATTTATTCCTTAATCACTTCCATTTATCTTATCCTATTATTTTTACACATAAAAAAGCCTCAAATGAAAAAAAGAAACATACAAAGAAAATATGATAATTAAGAGTAATTATCGAAAGGAATTTTTTTAACAGAATAAAAATCAAATGAGGAAGTTTGAAGTTTGAGGAAATCCCCCCCCCCCCCCCCGTGCCACCATAGAAGCCCCGCCTCTGATTATAACATTATATTTCACCACAGGCGCTGATACGTGCGGTGAGGACAGGCAATAAGGTCGAAGTCATGTCTGGCTTAGCATGGGGAGGTGACCCTAATAGCCGTGACAGTCGTGGATGGACGCTCTTGCACCATGCTGTGTATAAGGTTTGTTTGTTGTTGTTTTTTTCTTCTTTATTTTCTGATTTCGTTTGTTTGTGAATTATCAACTTTATATGATTATATGTTTTTTTTTATTAACTTCTTTTAAATTTGAACATGTTGTCAGCATCATCATAATTATTATTGTTATTTTTATGACTACTATTACTATTATTATTATTTTTGTTATTGTTATTATTATTATTATTACTATTATTATTATTATTATCATTATTATCATTATTATTATTATTATTATTATTATTATTATTATTATTAATATTATTATTATTTATAATAATAATAATAATAATAATAATATATATATATATAATATATATATATATATATATATATATATATATATATATATATATATATATATATATATATATATATATATATGTATGTATGTATGTAATGTATGTTCATATGTGTGTGTCTGTTGTGTGTGTGTGTGTGTGTGTGTATGTGTGGTGTACGTGTGTGTGCGTGTGTGTGTGTGTGTGTGGTATGGTGTGTGGTGTGTGTGGCGCGCGTTTACATACATACACACAGCCACACACATTCCGTATTCATATGAACCTCATTTTAAAATATATATATATATATATATATATATATAATATATTTAAAAAAAAAAATTATATATTTAAAATTTATATATATTTAAAAAAGCCCCCCCTCCCGCCACACGAGATCGCTCAGCTCCTATAGACGGAGCGAACGTAGAAACGGCACGACACCCGCATATCGGACTCTCGCTGGCCACACGGGGGAACCAGGTAAGTAAGCCATCTTCTCTCGCTCTCATTATCCTTTTCTTTCATTTCATTTCTTTTATCAATCCTGTCTCTCTATTCTCTTTCCTTATGTCCCTCTCCTGCGTTCTTCTCTCTCTCTCCTCATTATCTCTGTTTTTTATCATTCCTTTCTCTCTTATTCTCTTCCTTTCCGTTCTCTCATCCTGTGGTTGTTTCCTCTCTCTCCTCATTATCTCTTTCTTTTTTATCATTCCTTCTCTCTTATTCTCTTCCTTTTTGTCCCTCTCCTGCGGGTTCATCTCTCTCTCTCTTCCTCTTATCTCTGTTTTTATCATTCCTTCTCTCTTTTCTCTTCTTTCGTCCCTTCCCTTCTTCTCTTCTCTCTCCTCATTATCTCTTTTCTTTTTATATCCTTGTCCCTCTCCTGGGGTGTTCTCTCTCTCCTCATTATATCTTTCTTTTTATCACCCCTTCTCTCTTATTCTCTTCCTTTCGTCCCTCTCCTGCGGGTTGTTCTCTCTCTCCTCATTATCTCTGTTTTTATCATTCCTTCTCTCTTATTCTCTTCCTTTCGTCCCTCTCCTGCGGGTTCTTCTCTCCTCATTATCTTGTTTTTATCATCTCTTCCTTTATTCTCTTCTTTCGTCCCTCTTCCTGCGGGTTGTTTCTCTCTTCTCCTCATTATCTCTGTTTTTATCATCCTTCTCTCTTATTCTCCTTCTTTCGTCCCTCTCCTGCGGGTTTGTTCTCTCTCTCTCTCGTCTTATTCTCTCCTTGCTGGGTTGTTCTCTCTCTCCTATCTCTTTCTTTTTTATCATCCCCTTCTTCCTTATTCTCTTCCTTTCGTCCCTCTCCTGCGGGTTGTTCTCTCTCTCCTCATATCTCTTTTCTTTTTATCATCCTTCTCCTTATTCTCTTCCTTTCGTCCTCTCCTGCGGGTTCTTCTTCTCTCTCCTCATTATCTCTTTCTTTTTATCATCCCTTCTTCCTTATTCTCTTTCTTTCGTCCCTCTCCTGCGGGTTCTTCTCTCTCTCCTCATTATCTCTGTTTTTATCATCCCTTCTTCCTTATTCTCTTCCTTTCGTCCCTCTCCTGCGGGTTGTTCTCTCTCTCTCCTCATTATCTCTTTCTTTTTTATCATCCCTTCTTCCTTATTCTCTTCCTTTCGTCCCTCTCCTGCGGGTTCTTCTCTCTCTCTCCTCATTATCTCTTTCTTTTTATCATCCCTTCTTCTTATTCTCTTTCTTTCGTCCCCTCTCCTGCGGGTTTCTTCTCTCTCTCTCCTCATTATCTCTGTTTTTATCATTCCTTCTTCCTTATTCTCTTCCTTTCGTCCCTCTCCTGCGGGTTCTTCTCTCTCTCTCCTCATTATCTCTTTCTTTTTATCATCCCTTCTCTCTTATTCTCTTCCTTTCGTCCCTCTCCTGCGGGTTCTTCTCTCTCTCTCTCTCCTCATTATCTCTTTTTATCATTCCTTCTCTCTTATTCTCTTCCTTTCGTCCCTCACCTGCGGGTTCTTCTCTCTCTTTCCTCATTATCTCTTTCTTTTTTATCATCCCTTCTCTCTTATTCTCTTCCTTTCGTCCCTCTCCTGCGGGTTGTTCTCTCTCTCCTCTCTCTCCCTTCTCTCTCTTTCCTCCTCCTGTTTGTTTCCTTCTCTCTCTCTTATATCTCTTCCTTATTCTTCTTCGTCTCTCCTGCTCTCTCTCTCCTCATTATCTCTTTCTTTTTATCATTTCTTCTCTCTTATTCTCTTCCTTTCGTCCCTCTCCTGCGGGTTGCTCTCTCTCTCCTCATTATCTCTTTCTTTTTATCATTCCTTCTTTCTTATTCTCTTCCTTTCGTCCCTCTCCTGCGGGTTGTTCTCTCTCTCCTCATTATCTCTTTCTTTTTATCATCCCTTCTCTCTTATTCTCTTCCTTTCGTCCTTCGTCCTTTTCCCTCTTTGGCTCAGGCACCTTTCTGTTTGTCTGGGGCTTCGTATGCTTATCTTCTGTTTGCCTCTCCTCAATTTATCAGTATTTCTAACTGCTAAGCTTTATCCATCTATCTATCTATTCTACGTATCGCTTTTTGGTTTTAATTTTCTTGGTCAAAAAAAATTGTATACTTCTTCTACGTATCCATTTTTGGTTTTAATTTTCTTGGTGAAATTTTTTTTGTATACTTTCGTTTCGTTGATAGTAATAAAAAAGATTATATGGTCAATTGTATCGATCTACAGTAATGAATATTACGATGATAACAATAATGAATTTAATAAAAACTAGTGATAACGATGATGTAGTGATATGATGATGCACATATTGATAACAATTGGATCATAATGAAAATGTTAACAATACTCGGTGGATTAATGCTTGCTGATAACCATGGTGGGATAATGGGAATGGAAATAACTACAATAAAGAAGATTGTAATAATAATATCAATGATAGTTGGACTAAACACTGTGATGATAATGTTAATGTTTAAAGCAACATTGATTATGATAAATATGACAATCCTATTTATAATAACGATGACAATGATATTAGATAACGAAAACAACAGGGCATAATAATCACAATACTCATGATAATGATAATAAGGATTATCATAATAAGAGTAGCAACAATAGCAACAAAATCAAAGATGCACTAGTAAAAGGACATTAGTGATATCAACATTGCTGTTACTAGTAATGATAATAGTTACAGTGTATTGATTCGACTATTACTGATACAGTCACACAGCTAATGATAATAATGAAATTAATTTAAGAAAACGATAATGATCACACTAATAAATATCAGAATTAGAAACTAAATAACACTATGATGTCACATTAAAGAAACAGATGCAATTGCAGCAGCAACATCAGCACGATCAGTGACGATAATCATAATAGCAATTATGATATTTGATAATGATAACAATAATAGTAATCATGATATTTGTAACAATGATAGCAGTAAAGTAATAGAAATGGAGATAATGATTGATTGTGATGATGCATGACAACAACAAAAACACTGATGATAATAGTGATGATAATGATGGTAACAATTACCATACTTATCCTTATACTGATGATAGTGATGATAATGATGATTGTAGAAAAAAGAAGAAAATTAAGATAAAGAATAATGTCTGATAAGATCGGAGATACTAAAATGATAATGGTAATAATAATGATAATAATGATAATCATAATGATAATCATAATATGATAATCATAAATAATGATAATCATAATGATAATAATGATAATAATGAATAATGATAATGATAATGATAATCATAATATGATAATGATAATATGATAATGATAATAATGATAATATAATCATAATGATAATAATGATAATCAATGATAATAATCATAATGATAATATAATGATAACCTTCATACTAATAATACCAACAGCATTTAGTAATGATAGTGATGATAATGATAATAGTAATATTGATAATGATAAATAATGATGTATAGCGATAACGATTATAATGACAATAATAATAACAATAAGGATGATAATAATGATAATAATAATAATAATAATAATAATAATAATAATGGTAATAATAGTGATAATAATGATAATAGTAGTAAAATAAAAAATAATAATAATACTTATATTAATGATAATAATGACAGCAATTAAAATGAAAATAGTCACAAAGAGCACCCAGAGCGCGCATACCTCCGCCAGGACAATAGGGTCACAGTTGCAGTAAAAAAAAAATAAATAAATAAATAAAAAAAAATAAAAAATAAAAAAAAATCACCTGAAGAATTACATTAAAATCACCTCTTTCTCAAGTACACAGGTGACGACCACGTACTAATAATAATATATAATAATAATGATAATAATAGGTGCTAATGAACCCTTTTAAGGCATCGTGGATCCTTATAATGATCCGGATAAGCTTCTAAATTGGGCCAAGTTCTCTTCATAACTTTTTTTTTAATTATCCTGCTAACCAACTAACCAGTAAACAAACAAACAAACAAACCAACGCTACGAAAAAACATTTTTTGGCGGAGGTAATGGAAAAATAATAGTACCAAAAAATAGCAGGAACAGCTGTTTGTGCTGCTACTAATGAGATAATGCTAATGACAAAGACAGTAATGATAGCAGTAAAATAATGATAATTATGAAAAATAATCACAATAATGATGATATAATAATGATAATCATACTGATAATAATATTATATGATTATAACAATAATGATATGATAAATTATAT